TCCTGTTTGCCGACTTTTTTAATTTACACCCAGGTCGCCGTCCCAGCATTCTTTATTTCATTCTTTTTCCCTCAAACTCGGGTTCAATCAATCAATGGCAACAGTCGAGCCCTGTTTTCACAATCTACCTCCATCCTCTAACCTCTTCAACGGTTCCTGAGACTCCTGCTCGTCAACCTTTTTTAATTTTTATTTTTTAATGATTCATCGACCTGGTACACTCTTCCTCCCTATGTTAACTCCACACGGAGAGCTTGGGTAACCAGCAAGACTTTTTTTTTCTCTAACGCTCGACTCAGGCCATCATCAGCACGATGCGCCCACTCATTTTTCATTTAATTTTATTTTTCATCTGGTCGAGCTCAATCACCGACAGCAGCGCAGCTCTTGAGCCACCATCTCTTTTTAACCTCTCTCAGAAAAGATTTCTTTCCCGTAGTCTCCCATTACCAACCTCTCCTTCGATCTTCACGCCTTTTGCCCATCTGATCTAATGCTACTTACAGAGCATCTTGAGATTGCTGAACCCCGAAAACAATACCTCGCTTCTAAGCTCGTATTGCAGGGCAGGACTCCTGAGATGTCCTTTGCAGAAACCAATTCAGATCTTCTTCCTTTATTCCTCACTGCATCACTACCTATCACAAACCTTTTGCTTAAGTCAATTTTCTTTTATATTTTATTTTACTTTTATTATCTCTACTTCTCCTCCTTCCTGTAATACATCCCTGAAACTATGTTGTAAATACTCAAGGCACCTTAAGTAACAAAAAACTGTAACTAGTATACCAACTTTCCCAAATATTTACTTTCGCTATTGTGTGTGTTTACTTTAAATTTATCCTTCCTATGTACTCCTCTTATATATTTTTTGTAGTTTTATAATATTATATCAGTGTGTCACCACTACTCCCCTTTATCTTTATTTTTATTCTAGTAACTAATTTTTTTTTTATGCCCCAAATTATTTCCCATTTAATAAGTTTGCTAGCTTTTCTCTCATTTATTTGTAAATAGATTTACAGTTTACCTAGTTTTGTGGTGTTAGACTTTGTTTTTTAACTTACAGATGTAGATAAAAATTTTCACTATTAATCGATAATATCATTTTGTTTATTATTGATCAACATTAATGCCTTAAACCTTCAATATTTTTATTTTATTCTTTTTTTTAATCATGTTTAGACTAAGCATTTTACAACTTCAAATATTTTAGGCAACATTTTAAAAAACCTACACCTAACAATATTTATAATATTTCTTAAACAGATAAAACATTTATCATTTTAATTTTCTTAATAGATTTTCAAAACGTTATTTTTGACGCTTCCCTTACAACCTCTAACTCTATCCCATGAACCTTTCCTCCCAACTTTTTACATCCATCAAGAGATTATTGTTCGTCAGCCATTTTCTTTTTTTTTTTTTTATTGATTAAACTAACTAGAAGACCCTTCCTCGCTGTACATTTCCCAACAGTGAGCTCAGGAGACCCTGTTAGATTTCTATTTTTTTTTCTCTCATCGTCCGGCTCATCATTTTTTCATTTTTCAACTTTTTCTTTTCACCACACAAGCCGGACACAATCAAAATGACAGCAATGAATCTCTTACTCCCACCTTCCCTTTTCCACATCCTTCAAACCTCCAACCTTCCAAGGGATTCCAGTTCGCCGAACCTTTTTGTTTTTTTTTCATTGATTAATCCGACTGGAACAATCCTTCCTCGCTATACCATTCCCGATAGTGAGTTCAGGATATCCAGCGCGATCTTTTTATTTTTTTTTTCTCATCGCCCGACGCATCATATCAATTCATCATTTTTTCAACTTTTCACTTTTTTTTTTCACAATTCAACCGGGCACAATCATTATGGACAACAGGGATCCCCCTTACCTCTACCTCCCCCTTTTACCTCCATCAATCTTCCCACCTCTTTCCGCTGTCTGAGCTAATGATGCAGACGGAATATCTTGGGCCTTCTGTTAATGAAAACAATGCCTCACTAAACAAGTTCGCATTGCATTGCAGGATGCTTGGGATACTACTTTTGCAGAAACATGCTCAGATACCCCCTTTCCCTTTTGCAACCTTAGCGTCACATTATACGTTCAGTCAATAAACTAACTTAAATATTTTTTTTCCTCTCATCTTTTATGCAATAAGATATTATTTTCCTTGTACGATTCATTTTAACATATTTAACATTTTGTATTATATACTTTCCCTTAATCTTTTATCATTCATTTTGTGCGTTTTTATTTTTATAACCTTGATTTTTATTAAACTGATACACCACCCTTACAACATCTTTCTCTGTTTAACTTGTAACTTTATAATAATTTTAACTAATTTGTATACAAATTATTTCTTTTATTTTTTATAATAGGTTTGTTAGGTTATCATTCATTACATGTCATTCCCCCAACCAAACCTTCATCACCGGGGACACATTCTGTAGTATATTCTGAGTTAAGATAGTTCACAACCTTCTTATAACATTTATCATAACCCCATATCTATATAAAATATGTATCGACCTTGTATAACAATGGAAGTAACAAATAAAGCAAAGAGGTAAAGGTAGACCAAGACGACACCATGGACCAGACGACAAAGGCCAGACGTGATAAACAACCCAGACGAACAGGTGTTTATGATAATGAGTTCAATTACCCCGTCAACAGGTGGCCAGACGTAATAAATAACCCGGCGCCTGACAGGTGGCGTGATTACGGGAGCCAATCAGAACTCGTCAACATATGCCAGAGTGCAATATATAAGGTCCCCCAAGATGGGACATAGCAGTTGTGTTTTAGTAGTTGTTTCAGAGCGACGCTGTCATACGGTCGGTCAGATCTCTCACCCCCCTTCTATCCGCGATGTAGGGCATCCGTGACGCCCCTGGTCCGACTGTCTTCGTCCGTGGTCTACCTCTACCTTCTTGGAGTTACCATCTAGACCTGCCTCTGTCTCTTGCTGTCCCAGTGCGGGAATCCCATCACGCACCCACTACCACGACTGCCCAGTACATTCCACATCGGGATTACTACATATATATATATATATATATATATATATATATATATGAAATAAGTTGAAGTTCTGGTAAGCCTTGTGTATAGAATCCTGTCGATTAACTTTGTGATGATGAAGTGTCGACTCTCGCTATACTGTGTTAACCGAGAGGAACAGCCAGGATGTAGAGTTTTCCAGTACCTCTCTGCACCTTGGAAGACCTTTAAAAGTTCTCACAAAATACAGGCAGTCGTGGTCGAGGCAGAGTGGAAAGTTTGGGAATGTCCACACAAAAAACGAAGACACAATTGCACTAAGAAAGTTCCGTTAACAGATAAAAGTTGAGCTAGGAGCGAAAGATGGAGATAGAAGAGTTCTTACTAACTACATGTTAGTTGAGATCGACATAAGGTACGACCGAAGCGGGTTTGCACTGAGGGTGAACTAAACTGTCAAGTGACTGTAAAGTGATTGTATTTATAGGTTAAAGACGGGGGCCTTCTGCGCCAGGGGCGTTTCTGAGAAAAAAGGGGGCCTTTACCTGTCACCAGAAGTGAGAGGGAGCTTTGCATTCCACCAGCTGTGAACAGTGTGGGTGGTCTTGTTGTGGGAATTGTAAATCTATCTGATTTTGACGTTATGACTTCCATCTCTTGCTTAGCTCAACTCTTAAATCTATTACAGATTTTTATTTATTTATCCTGTTTGTACAAATTACATTACATATGATGATGTAAAGACACATGTCAATAATACGTATAATCATTTACAGATGTGTTTCTGTTATACAACATTAAATCTTATTATAAGTTATATACACAATATGGGGTTGTTGGTTTAAATTACCATATATATATATATGTCATAATTTGTACATAACTGGATGTAATCCCACCCCAATATGTATGCAATGTATGATCTAAAGATTTTTAATAAAGACAAGGCTTAGAAATCTGGGAGAAAGGCCATCAAAGAGGAAACGGTCATTAGCAGGTTTTATTATCCAGGAACTCATAAAAACTGAGTTCAAGAACCCTCGTTTCCGGGAGCATGTCAGAACAAGACAAGGACAAAGGATTAGCAAAGATCCAATCAGAGTCCAGGAGGATTAGCTAGGAACCAATGGAAAACTTACACGAGTCGACAATCAGCCAATCAAAGCCCTGAGAAGTCTTCGTGTTAAATCGCGAACTCAGTTTAGTTAGTTAGGAGCTCGCTACCATCGCAACAAGTCGGGACCTGGTACCAAGGAACCGGTTGGAGCCAGCCACCATCTTCTCAACGATCAGATAAGTCCAATCCTCAATAATGTGAGCAGCCATAGATATTAGTCAAATCCGACAAATAGCTTCAACCCCTTTCTCCCTTGATCGCTGGCCTATTTCAATTCAATTCTGTGTCCTCGTTATTTTCCCCCTGTGTGAATACCTTACTATCTCAGCAAACACGACTGCGCCCACCACAATCATCAATCAATTCAATCAATCTCAAAAAGGTAATCTTCAAACATTACATATATATATATATACTAGCCGAATGACCCGGGCAACGCCCGTGTTTTACCCGATTGAATGTTTTTATTCAAATACTATTTGTTACAATTATAAATTGGCGCCTTAAATAAATGCATATCCTAATCCTAATCAATCAGTCATATGCCGCCTCTGTCACGGATGGCCGGCGCCCTCCTATTGGACGGCTACGATCACGTGTCATCGTTGGCGCGTAGGTGACCTTGAGTGACGTAATGCCCCCCCCCCCCCCCCTGCCGGCGGCGCGCGCCCGTTGGCTGCCGGCGAGCACGTGACCTCCCTGTGCGCGCTCATCCGTGACAGAGGCGGCCGGCCAATGACTGACTGATCAGGAAAGACTCTCGTGACTATATATATATAATATAATATAATATATGTATGAGTACATTTTGTGTGTGTAGAAATATGATTAGTTGACTTTATAAGGTAAACTTATTCATACAGTTTGTATCCCTCGATAGCTCAGTTGGCAGAGCGGAGGACTTAGGTCGCTGGTTCAAATCCGGCTCGAGGGAGTTTTTTTTTTTAAATTTTTATTGGCTGTCGGCGAGCAGTGTTGGGCAAATATTAATTAAAATGATTTATTAAAGATTAACAATTGTTAATTGTATTCATACAATTAATTGTATTAATTTTTTTTTATTAAAACTCCAACTTTAAAATTTTCGGAGTTTCTCAAAGTTTTCATCCTTAACACCTATGCAAGATTTTATCCGTGAAAAACAATTATCGAAGCACTTACACCAGTTGTTGTGTCCAATGAAGAGCCTCAGATGTCTCTGTACATCTCTATCACAGCAATTTTCTCTATCTTGGGTGTGTAAAGCTGCTGTTCTGGGTCTATTTTCTGTTGTTGTTGTGTCCAATATAGAGCCTCAGATGTCTCCGTACATCTCTATCACAGCAATGTTCTCTATCTTGGGTGTGTAAAGCTGCTGTTCTGGGTCAATTTTCTGTTGTTGTTGTGTCCAATGAAGAGCCTCAGATGTCTCCGTACATCTCTATCACAGCAATGTTCTCTATCTTGGGTGTGTAAAGCTGCTGTTCTGGGTCAATTTTCAGTTGGTGTTGTTGTGTTCAATGAAGAACCTCAGATATCTCCGTACATCTCTATCACAGCAATGTTCTCTATCTTGGGTGTGTAAAGCTGCTGTTCTGGGTCAATTTTCAGTTGGTGTTGTTGTGTTCAATGAAGAACCTCAGATGTCTCCGTACATCTCTATCACAGCAATGTTCTCTATCTTGGGTGTGTAAAGCTGCTGTTCTGGGTCAATTTTCAGTTGGTGTTGTTGTGTTCAATGAAGAACCTCAGATGTCTCCGTACATCTCTATCACAGCAATGCTCTCAATCTTGGGTGTGTAAAGCTGCTGTTCTGGGTCAATTTTCAGTTGGTGTTGTTGTGTTCAATGAAGAACCTCAGATATCTCCGAACATCTCTATCACAGAAATGTTCTCTATCTTGGGTGTGTAAAGCTGCTGTTCTGGGTCAATTTTCTGTTGTTGTTGTGTCCAATGAAGAGCCTCAGATGTCTCCGTACATCTCTATCACAGCAATGTTCTCTATCTTGGGTGTGTAAAGCTGCTGTTCTGGGTCAATTTTCTGTTGTTGTTGTGTCCAATGAAGAGCCTCAGATGTCTCCGTACATCTCTATCACAGCAATGTTCTCTATCTTGGGTGTGTAAAGCTGCTGTTCTGGGTCAATTTTCAGTTGGTGTTGTTGTGTTCAATGAAGAACCTCAGATATCTCCGTACATCTCTATCACAGAAATGTTCTCTATCTTGGGTGTGTAAAGCTGCTGTTCTGGGTCAATTTTCTGTTGTTGTTGTGTCCAATGAAGAGCCTCAGATGTCTCCGTACATCTCTATCACAGCAATGCTCTCTATCTTGGGTGTGTAAAGCTGCTGTTCTGGGTCAATTTTCAGTTGGTGTTGTTGTGTTCAATGAAGAACCTCAGATATCTCCGAACATCTCTATCACAGAAATGTTCTCTATCTTGGGTGTGTAAAGCTGCTGTTCTGGGTCAATTTTCTGTTGTTGTTGTGTCCAATGAAGAGCCTCAGATGTCTCCGTACATCTCTATCACAGCAATGTTATCTATCTTGGGTGTGTAAAGCTGCTGTTCTGGGTCAATTTTCTGTTGTTGTGTCCAATGAAGAGCCTCAGATGTCTCCGTACATCTCTATCACAGCAATGTTCTCTATTTTGGTGTGTAAAGCTGCTGTTATGGGTCAATTTTCTGTTGTTGTTGTTGTTGTTGTTGTGTCCAATGAAGAGCCTCAGATGTCTCCGTACATCTCTATCACAGCAATGTTCTCTATCTTGGGTGTGTAAAGCTGCTGTTCTGGGTCAATTTTCTGTTGTTGTTTACCGATCTGCTCCATGAACAAGACACCACCAGTTCAATCCAATATGTCTTATAGCTAGCGAGCGAATACCATCAGCGGCCATATTTTGCCAGTTCTGCAGACAGAGAGATGGTAGATATATCCAGAGAGGGACCATTGTCTACAGAACTTCCCCAGGTATGCCCACAATGTAGGAAAGATAACATTGTGCAGGGGAGAATTCCAGCTCAGATGTAAAAATGATAAATTCAACAACAGCTTTATTAGGACATTTCCGTCCTGTAAGGACTCGCCATACATCATTTTCATGGAGAAAAGGAAAACATAAACAAAGGAGAGAAGGGAAATCAAAGTATTCAACATAACTATACAAATTAACTATGGAAGGAAATTGTAATTTTAGTTCTTAGAGATTACCTTGTTCTCTAACGCTTTATGAAATTTAAACAATTATATCGCTATATATTTTTTTCTCGGACATTATTCTGATTAGCTGAACTGGGTTCACGTAGACTTGGGTTCTTTAAGATCTTATTCCGTTCGTGCAGCTAGTTGAAAATCAACAATTAATTGATATTTATTCCGATAGATGGCGCATGCCATCAGCAACTTTTAGTTGTACAACCAGGAGATGTCTTTTTTATCATTCCATCTAATCTAAGTAAAAATTCACTTTTGTACTTTTTTCACATTTTTTGGCGTTCTCACGCCTTTCCTGTCTATATGTTTCATGGTTTTTTAGGATGCCCCAACATAAACCTTTTTAGTTGTTGAGATACAGCTTGCACCACGCTGATGAGGGCCAACAGCCTGAAACGCGTACGTGGTTAGCTTTTTTGATTAATCAAGAATGGGTATTTGGCCGATTGATATCAGTAAAAATTAATGATTAGTTGATATTTTATTCCGATAGAAGGCGCCAGCCATCAGTAACTTTCAGTTCCCCGATAATCAGATGCCTTTAGCTACTGATTAGCTGAACTGGGTTCACGTAGACTTCATATATTCATATATCCCACCGTTTATCACAATGTGTAACTATCTTAAATTTTGGAATTTATTTTATTATTTTATGAGACTAGAGCTTAAAATGTGAACTATGTGGAAATTTTATTTTATATTTCACTTTCTATGAATGAAAATACTGTACGAAAGTCCGAAAACTTGCCGAATTTATAGTATTAATAAAAGAAACACGTCGCCTTAAACTTTTATTCCTTCTTCAAGATGATGTCAGACGATTCTTTCTCTTGTAATATATCTGTTGGATAGGTGGTTCAATCAGATTCAGAATAGATTAAAATATATAAGTTTTAATATATCACGACATAGCAAGCAGCCAGAACAAGGGATAAACAGGAAGTGAAGAGTGCAGCGCCTCTAGTGGTAGTGGTTGGAAGCTTCTCAATGCCACGTCGTTCTGTGACGTAGGCGCGCTGGAAACCACTACGTATTTGAAGGAAGCCCCCAGTTCAGAGAGAGAGAGAGAGAGAGAGACAATTGACAATTGACATATTTTTATTGACATCTTGTCAATACATGTAAAGTGCACAGTCCGCACTAATTATAAGAAAATGAGAAATTTATAATGAGGATGATGGTTATAATAAAAAATGATTTTAAAAATGATTAAAAAATACAACTATGTACATGGCGCCTCTGCCACCGCTGCAGAGTTTGATGGAAGATCGCCAATGGGTCCCCAGAGATACCACGCATCTCGCGATCTACGAAGAAGACGTAGATGGCATGCTTTGCCGCTGAGGAGATGGTGATGGCGTGGTTCTCGAGGTTCACCGCGAAGATCCAGGATTGCAGGTCCGGCGGCCGCCCGATGATGGAGAACACCTCTCGGATGAGAGGGCGGACGGCGCTGCAGGACCAGTAGCGATGAGCCAGCGACAGGTCGCTGGAGCCGCAGGCGATGCAGACGGGCTGGCTCGACGCCGGGTGCCCCGGATGAGGCAGGGCGTGCAGGGCTAGCCGCAGAGCGATGTCCGCTGCATGGCCCCCGAAGGAGCAGCGACGGAGAGATGAGAACGCCAGGCTGGTGGAGGGCACGTCGACGACAGGCGCCCAGCGCCGGAGATACCGCGAGATGGGAACGGCGGCCAGGCGGGGACGCTCCAACATGCGACGCGCAGTGCGTGTGCTGATGCGCAAGAAGGGCGTGGCCGTCCCGCGCAGCACCACGGCTTCCTCCAAGGTCCGCTCCCTGTAGACGCTCGTCGCGTTGTCCGCCACCAGGCGTTGGCAAAATGCCCCAAGAGCAGCTGCATCTTCGCAGGCGCTTCTTGTAAGCCTGGCGATGGGCGGCGGAGCAGGGCCTGCCAGGTCGCGGACGCGAACTCCTCTCCATCTAGAGGGAGCGCGAAGCGATGGCGTCGCCAGGAACCTGCAGGCACCGACGAGGGGCAGGTTCAGTAGAGTGGGAGCAGGCACAACCCGATGGTTCAGGCCCAGGATGGAGGAGGCCTGCCCCCATAGATCCAGCAGCCGGCGGCGGCGAGGCAGCAACCAGGAACCCGAGGACAAGGGGGTCATCCAGGCTCCAGACTCCACCAGCCAAGAGTAGGCGTTCTTGCCTCCATTTCTGGATGCAGCCTGGACCCCCTTGAAGCAGGCGAGCTGGAGTTGGGTCCTGATGTCGAGCAGTCCTACGCCACCGACGGACACAGGACGTGCCAGTAGACCTCCCGGGAGCCAGGCGGCGCGATGGCAGGATCCCCAGACGAACCGCGTCAGCCTGGCCTGCAGTTTGGCGATAGTGGCATCACCGGGCAGGTAGCCGTGCAGATGGTGGAGCACCGCCGCCAGTACTAGCGAGTTGGCCGCTCTCGCCCGCCCCACCAGGGAGAAGCCGCGGACAAATGGGGACCATCTGGAGATCGCCCTCTCCAAGATGCCCAGCAGGTGATTTTCCTGGACCGAGGTTCCATGGCCTGATGTTATTTCGCAGCCCAGCACCGTGATGGAGGATGCGGACCACGAGATGCCCAGCGGAGAGTCGGCACGGTCCCTCCAGGCGCCGCACCACAGTCCTTTACTTTTCGGGAAGTTGACGCTGACTCCCGACGCACGCCGGAGAGAGAGAGAGCAATATATATACTTGTATTTTAAATATTCTTCTACGTTTACATAAAAAATGGAGTTAATCTAGAACATTC